TCTAAAACCTTCTAAACATTCTAAAGTCTTTTTAAAACATGTGAAAGAATGTGGGAAGAGCAGATGTGTGAGAGAGAGTTTTAAACAACATTTCATATTAATATCTTAAACATGCACTCAGTAATTTTTCGTCATTAAAAATAAATAACAGAAATTTGGTACCACTAGTGACAATATAAAGGCCAAGAACACTTAGATTAGGGGATTTAATAGTCTGGAGTCTAAGATTTTTTTTATTTTATTTCTGAAGTATAACGTGACATTGAAGACTGGAGTAATGGCTGCTGGAAATTCAGTTTTGCCATCACATGAATAAATTTAAAATGTATTAAAAATGTATAAATGTATTCATTGACAAAATAGTTATTAAATTATGCGTTAAAAAAGTGTAATAAATTAATATATCACAATAGTACTGTTTTATCATTTTTGATCAATTAAATGCAGCACTTGGTGAGCATAAGATATTAAAAAAAAAAAAAAAAAAAACATACTCAATTATTTTGTTATACATGAAAATATATAGCTGCCTTTCTGCTTTATATTTTTAGTTCCTCACCATCATATTTGGCAAAAAAAAGTTTAAAAACCCCTGACTGCACCATTAAACTCAACCACATAGCTAAATCTACGCTGAAAGTCGTTCTCCACGCCTAGACAAGAGCCATATATGACCTTCATAATTTCATTCTTGAAAATGTTGTTTTGATCAGAAGTGTCAGTTATAATGTTTTTGTTGCATCTCATACAAGACTGTAAAAAAGTGTTTGATCTAGTTGGTTTAGATGGTGAATGTCATTACCTGCTGTACTATGGTAGTGAGTTCCAAGCACAGCTGGATCACGTTGTTCCTGGTCACAGAATAATCTGTAACGGCAGCAAATGGTGACCTGCAAAAGAAGTAACACCTGAAATTAACCGTTAGATTATTCTTACAGCCAGACCCACAAGATGCGCAATTTGAGTGTGCTTCAGTGTTAATTTCGTTGACGAATAATTTTCGTCATAATTTTTTGTCAACGACATTTTTTTCACCGACGACAACGAGACGATAACGAACTAAAACTCTTTTTGAATGACAAAAACTATGACGTAAATCTATTGACATTTTCGTCAACGAATAAAAACGAGACGAAAATGTTAGAGAGGGACGATTTGGGAAGAGATTCATTCAGAACGAATCTGCTGCATAGTTAGATGCGTACATATGAACCGGCGGGACATAAGCCAACATACATTGTTGTATGTATGTTAAATGACATTGAACATACATTAAAATGTCGATATGTGGGAGTAAAAGAAGAGCAGACATATGGATAAATCTGACGACGCAAGAGAGAACTCAATTCAGTCCGGTTTTCTGAGCGCAGAAGCGCGTCTCACAGCGCGCGAGTACTCTCGTCGCATGAACGGAGAATTACACACAAAATTATGTTAAATTGTCCGTTTTGACGAGTATTCGCGTAAACACAGACCATGTTCTTGTTCTTTATGAGAAGTGGTTTTATTTAATTTTAACATAAAGGCATGTTGTGTGTCACCGCAGTTAAATCGGTGTCTATCATGATAAAACCTTAATATCAAACCTATATAATGAGTTTGGAAATTTTTGAGAAATGCTTAATAAATGCACTGTAACTAAACCCATTAGATTTTAGCCGACTAAACTTACTGTAGATTTAGTTGACTAAAATCTTATGATATTTAGTTGACTAAAACTAGACTAAAACTAAAAACAATTCAGATGACTAAAATATGACTAAAATTAAATGGCATTTTAGTCAAAAGACTATGACTAAAACTAAATCAAAATTTGCTGTCAAAATTAACACTGGTGTGCTTACAAATCGTATGTATCTATTGGTGTGTGCTATGTTATATGTTATCCCTGTTGACCGTCAATGTACTCCAGACCCAGTTTCTCTCTTTCTGTGAGTGACGAAGTGAATGTGGGTCATGTGTATTGAGGCTGTGTGCTATATATACAGGGCTGTAGGAACATTGGTTTATCGTTTCCATCCTGTCTCTAAATATTCCTCTAAGACCGCTGGGAACACCAACTGACACATGCCCAGAAGCCCCTCACAATTTAAGAAACTCTAACAATCTTTCACCGCAGGGCTAAAAATCATTCATTCAAAGACCTCACAAGCACTCTTATACCACCCGAACACACTAAACTTGCTTTCCTAAACAGGATTTGGGATGTGGCTCTCGGCGAATACCAAATCCCCCTTCAAAACTCCCCTCCTAAATGTCAGCGGCTTTGCTTGACTCCCAAATATTGCTTTACGGTAGATAAGTACGCCAACAGTGCCTGACCCCGGTTCAAGGACACCTGTCAGCAAGCATGGATGCAGTGGTCAGAGATTTCACGAGAACTGTCTGAAAAAAAAAACCTGAGGGGAGGGAGAACGGGAGAGAGAGAAAAGACAAAATGTGAGAGAGAGAGAGAGAGAGAGAGAGAAGGAAAAGATAGCGGCAAAAAATAAAATAAGAAAAAGTGTAATACCAAGTCATCCGAGCTAGACTGAGAGACGCTGAAATCTATGCAGCTCACTCGATTCTCTCCAGGACTGAGAAGACTTCATTACATCCAACCTTTGCTCTTTTGAAGCATTTGAGCACATGCATCTGGACACGAAGGCTCCAGGCTGACAGGAAATCCGTCAGTTGGGTAAAAAAGACCACTACCATGTCCTCAAGGCCAGGCCTTAAAGTTTTACCTCATCCTGCTCCAGTTTTTCAATCAATGCATGAGAGTCTGGGAGCTGGTGTGTGCTTGTAATTGCTTATGCGCTGCTGTCTATCTTCATTTCAAAGATCCTTTTACACTCAGAGAGAGGATCCGAATACTTTCAGCTCCCATCTGAACAAATCAATGAAAACGCATTAGCACTATTAATGTCAGGGCATTTACATCTATGCATTTGGCAGATGCTTTTATCTAAAGCGACTTAAATTGCATTCAAGGTATACATTTAAGCAGTACACAGATTCCCTGAGAATCAAACCCATGACCTTGGTGTCACTAGTGCCATGCTCTACTGTTTGAGCTTCAAGAAACTGTCAGGAACCTTTATCTACCATTTCTCCTGCACTTGAGTCCTCGCTTCATCTCCCCGCACGCACCGTGACATAAGTAAGAATGATCACACCATTATAAGTTAATCTATAGGCAACTAGTGGTACACCATTCAAGAAACTGATGATTTAACAGTTATTGGCCAATACCGATCCAATTGTTCGATATATATTAATATAATTTTAGTGTATTTATAGCTTAGATATTTTTATATTATATTAATAATTTTACAGAATCCCCATCGCACTTTTTCAAACATTCAAGGGGACAGAACACATTAGGCTCTGGAATGCCCTTCCTCTGTCTATTAGATCTTCTCCAACTTTGGGTGTTTTTCAGAGTGTGCTTAAAACTCATTTGTTTTCTCTAGCTTTTGACAATGCTTTTTAGCTGTGGATGTTATTTGTTGGTATAATTTTTTTTCTCTTTTATTTTACTATTATTATTTTTCATTTGTTTTTATATTATTTTTCTCATCTTTCTCTGTACAGCACTTTGGTTCTAGTCGTGGTGTTGAAAGTGCTTTATCCAATTGTTCGATATATATTAATATAATTTTAGTGTATTTATAGCTTAGATATTTTTATATTATATTAATAATTTTACAGAATCCCCATCGCACTTTTTCAAACATTCAAGGGGACAGAACACATACAGTTTCTGCCAATCTCATGTTAATCTTGAGTACCTATAGAGTAGCATTGCATCCTTCATATCTCAGATGAGGCTTTAGTTTTATCAGATTTATAAAAGACAGATACAGCTATACTGCTTCTCTCCGAAAACAGTCAAGCTCCTGGAGGCGTGCCGTGGGTGGAGCTAAAGAGTCACGAGCACACTGTAAAAAAGCCAACTTACAAAAAGTCCTCCCAATAAACATAAAACAGTAAATTGAACTAAGATATTTTGATTGGAAGTGTTCATGCATGATACTAAGTAGATTCAATAAATTAGTTCCTTAAATGTTAAAAACATGCAATGTTCATCTTAGACTCATCTCAGTCGTGGTATTGAGGGTGGAAGAGAGCGTTGGTCATTCACTCCCACATACAACCCCTGCCAGTACCGAGACTCAAACCCGTGACCTTTAGGTTATAAGTCCGACTCACTAACCATTAGGCCACGACTGCCCCTGACAGAAGCTGATGACAGTGTCCTACCTAATCAATCCATCTTTTCTGCACAATAACTAGTACATATTAATAATTTTTTAATCGACTCTGTTATTTTTGTCATATATATAATGTATATGCTTTTCCCAAACTGATCGCGTACTCTAATTTAGCAGTGTTACTCATTCTCAAACATTCTCAAACTGATGGCCTAATCTCATTTTGCAGTACGTTTCTGATTTTCGATGCTGATGTGAGTGTGCCTGTTCAATCCAGCTTTTCTTTAAAATCACTGGTATGTAGTAATAATTTTTATAATCGACTGTATGCTATTTGTCATGTAACGTATGTTGCACTGTTCCCAATCTGACAGCTTAACCTAATTCAGCAGTGTTTTACTGATTTCACACACGGGAAAATGCATTACATTAAATCGTTTTAATAATGGAGAAACCACGAAAATAATGTTATAAGCAGTGAGATGTTTGCTCATATCTATAGATAAAAATGTATTGACCATCTAGACATCTCTGCGCTCAATTGATCAACTACTCCTAATGGTTCCGCGATCTCGTCTAAAATGTAGAGGAGATCTTGCTTTCTCTGTGGCAGCTCCTAGGCTCTGGAATGCCCTTCCTCTGTCTATTAGATCTTCTCCAACTTTGGGTTTTTTTCAGAGTGTGCTTAAAACTCATTTGTTTTCTCTAGCTTTTGACAATGCTTTTTAGCTGTGGATGTTATTTGTTGGTATAATTTTTTTTCTCTTTTATTTTACTATTATTATTTTTCATTTGTTTTTATATTATTTTTCTCATCTTTCTCTGTACAGCACTTTGGTTCTAGTCGTGGTGTTGAAAGTGCTTTATGAATAAAGTTTGAGTTGAGTCTAAGAAGTTGTAGAGATTCGGCACTAGTTAGGGAGATCAGATGGCCTGCACTTTTTCTAAAGGATGAGGTAAACCATTTAATATCCACTGTTGTTACCTGTGTTCTGGAGTCAATATTAAAATGACTGGAAAAGTGTAAAGAACTGGAAAAGTGTCATCTTCTGACCATAAAGAGTAGTTTAAAACCACAATTAACGGTCTGGTTTCTACTTAGGAGAAAAAATCCTTGTTGATGTGACGTTGTGATGCCTAAATTTACTTCTAGCATAAAAAAACAATTTATTTCTAGTGTTTTATTTTTAATTTTAAAAGAATAGAACTGTAAAGTAGTTCATTATTAAATGCTTATTCGGGCCAGTATTTGAAGAGGAATGAATGTGAAAACAGCTGAGCTGAGTATAAGATCAAAACCAATAAGCCTTAGTTAGAGTAGTTGCCAAATTTAAAGTGGAGCAAATGAAAATGAGGCTTTGAGGAATAGAAACACAGAGCATTCGCTACGCCTGGAGGATGAACATTCAGTCTTTTCACAATTTTTAAATGAAATAAAGGCATTATCAATGTTTAGTTGCCTGAATTATCAACAGACAATATGGCTTGTACTCTGACTATGATCTATTATGTCTCTTAATGTAAATGACAGAACCACCTTTGCATTCCAATAAGCCCCTCCCACCTGGAGCTCCACCCACGGTGAATGAGAATGAGGGAAAGCCCACCACAAACCCAACAGAAGCAGCCAGGTACCATTAAAATGATGATCACCGACTTGGCAACAAGTGGCAGAGGAGAGCCGGTGACAGCCTGGATGGATATCAACCAATAACACTTAAGGGACCAAGACTCTCAAGTCAGTCATAATGTCTCTTGGCTTCCGATCCATTCACCTACGTTAGTGTAACTCCGTTCCTCCCTTTCTCTCAGAGTTCCTTCTGTTCTCCCACTATGTCTGCAGGGGAGACGACAGCTCTACTGGGGACTCTTTTGGCAGAAAAGAGAGGCCGGGGAGCGTAATTAGGCCAGCATTAATGAACGAAGGGAATGAGGCACCCCTCCAAATCGGTGGCCTTGTTCCTACAGCGTACGTTCCTGATTATGGACACTGAAACTCAAAAACCGCCAAATGCAAACAGTGACTGGCTATACGTTCACCTTAGTCAGCAAGCTGATGTGGATAAATCCTCTCAGCTTGATCCCAATCCAGACTGTTCCAATGTGAACTGTGTGTGATATGGACCGCTCTCAGGTCCAGGATCAGAGAGCGGGGTGGCGGGTGCCCGGGCACAGCAGTAGAGAGATGACGTTCTCAGCAGGGTGAAGCTGAGAGGATATCAGATGCCATCTGATGGAAAGGGTCCTACTGTGCGGTACTGTCCCAGTCCAGAGCTTTAAGCCAGGCTCAGTACCAGAGGGAGCTGGACCAAATCAAGCAGCTGGGTGCCAAATGGATCATTCAGCACAAACCATTCGCCTGATTTACCTTCATTTTGAAATGAAAAAGTAGAAATACTGAAGCACTACAGTCTATAACTTAAGTGTCTTATGAGGTGTTTAATATTGACAGTGATTTGCAGCAACAAAGTGACTGGAAACGATACATTTGCAATGGGAGCTGGAGAAATTTCTAGCAAAAGAGAAGTGACGCAGTACAACGACAACAAATTTGTGTACTCTCAGCATTGTTTAACACGTTTTACCATGTCAGGTCTCATGCCTGCCATTATTTGCTAAAACAACAAAAAAAAAATTATTTTATATTTGCTAAAAAATATTTATATTTTCATTCATTTTACTTTTTAACTATACATAATTGCCTTTTATAACACTTTTCTCTACAAAAAACAAACAAACAAACAAAAAGGTGGAATTTAGACAGCTAGCCTATAATGTAAAAAGATAGTTCACCCAAAAATGAAAATTACCCCATGATTTACTCACCCTCAAGCCATCCTAGGTGTATATTACTTTCTTTTTTCAGATGAATGCAATTGGAGTTATATATATATTTTTTAAATGTCCTGGCTCTTCCAAGCTTTATAATGCCAGTAAATGGTGGTCAAGATTTTGAAGCCCAAAAAAGTGCATCCATCAATCATAAAAAGTACTCCACACAGCTCCGGGGGTTAATAAAGGCCTTCTGAAGCAAAGCGATGCATTTGTGTAAGAAAAATATCCATATTTAAAACCTTATAAACCCTAATCTCTAGCTTTTTAAACAAATTTATACACACATTTTTGATTTAAAACAGTAGTTCTCAATTCCAGTCCTCACGTACCACCACTCTGCACATTTTGTATGTACCTCTTAGCACTTCAGACGTTAGTTCTATTCAAACGTAAGTGCCCTGCGAAGTGAACTTTACAGGTTATTCCACCATGATTCCAGTTTGAAGGAAGCGTATATATTCCATTCAAACGGCATTAAAGTGTGAGAGACATGAATTAAATTATATTTATTTACAAAGGTATAAGGTCACACTTCACACTTCTCTAGTAAGTTTCTATACGCTGCAGGCCACGGCGTAGCGCAAATCCATGAATGAATGTACTTCAACAGATTTCCTGTGCTCAGGCTGTAGGGAGCAATGAGCACTGTCTAGGGACCATGTCAGTCAGAACTCAGTTCATGCATGGAGCTCTCTTCTAGCGAGCTGGTTATCTGAATCAGGTGTGTTAAATAAGAGAGACATGCAAAATATGCAGAGCAGGTGGTACTGGAATTGAGAACCACTGATTTAAAACAATGGAATACAATGCAAAACATTACTGACTGTTCTTACTGATGCTTTGAAGTCTATAAAATAATTTTTGCTAATTCGACAAAATCACCTTTATGTTAGTCAGCTAGACAACATTATCTTGGTGACAAATCAGCAGAACTTGCAATAATCTACAATAAATAGAAAAGTGAGTGGTTTTTGCTGAAGAACAAATTGTTCTTTAAAGGGGTCCTATTATGCTTTTTCACCTTTTGAATTTTAGTCAGTGTGTAGTGTTTATGTTTGGACATAAAAAAGATCTACAAATTTACAAATCTCAAAGTCCACTCCAAAGGGAGATATTTTGTTTTTAAAAAATTCCTTTTCAAGAACTACAACGAACGGCTCGTTTGGACTACAGCGTTGTTTTCCGGGGTATTGTGATGTCACGAAGCGGCCCAATTGAATATAATTATAATAATTCCCGCCTACGGAAATTCGAATGGTTGGGGCGTAAGGAGGGGCGAGGTCGTGGTTAGAACGCTTGGTTGAGTGCATCAGACAAGACGATGACGAAGAAGAAGTGCTGCTGCAGAGTTAGTGCATCAGAGAAAATGAAGAAGAAGAGCTGCTGTAGCGTCAAGTTTTCGCCTTGTCGAAGAAACGCTGTTTTTTCATAAATTGCTGACAGTACAATACTGGACAATGATGTAATCTGCAAAATGTACACTTCAATTATGAGACTACGGTATAAATAAATTCAACTGTATAACAGTTTCACTGCAAGTCATGTTATAATGTTAGAATTAAAGAACAATAAGCATAATACATATTACCGTTGCACTTATCTGTACATAGTAAAAAAATAATTCCCGCCTACGGAAATTCTAATGGTTGGGGGGTGGGGAGGGGCGAGGTCATGGTTAGAATGCTTGGTTGAGTGCGTCAGACAAGACGACGACGAAGAAGTGCTGCTGTAGCATCAAGTTTTGAGGGGAGTCTTGAGGGAGTACAGTGCTAGTTTTGCCAAAAAGCTTTTGCTAAAAGACGGAGCAGTTCCCACTTTGTCGGGAAAATCTGCTGTATCTGCATCACAGCCTGTAAGTGTGCTGCTTTATTTGTTGTTGTGTGTGTTATTTACATTTCAAAGTATAAGTTGTATGCCGTACAATAAACATAATACATATTACCGTTGCACTTATCTGTACATAGTAAATGCACTTATTTTTAAGTGGTTGTTGACATCGTATCTAAAACGTGATTTAGCCAAAAAAAAACAAAAAAACAACAGTAACGTTACCACTCTAATATGTCTTGCAATATCCGTGCGTGCAAAGGTTCTGCGCGATCCTCTTGTTCAATATTCTCAGGGTCTGAATCCGGCTCAAATTGATATGGCAATATTGATATGGCCATCCTTAACTATACCGGAGCAGACGAACTTGCTGCTTTGGCTCAGGGCGTGGCAGTACTGAAGCACCGTCTAAGCTGTTCGCCAATCACAATGCACTGGGACAGCTAACCAATCACAACACATTTTGTTTTTCGGAAGGCGGGCCTTCATCAAACCCGAAACTAATCGAGCCATTTGTGCCAGGCTGGGGAGAAAGGTATTTTAATAATTTAAATTATGAGAAAAATAATGCGTTTTTAGAAACACCAAGCATGAGAGCATGTTCTAGTACACCCCCAAAACAAAATCAAGACTTTTTAAAAGAGCATAATATGACCCCTTTAAACTTCTGGAATCAAAAAGTGAACTGCTGTTAATTTATCTATCTATATTGACACTCGATAGATAGATAGATAGATAGATAGATAGATATGTTAATATATTATATTGGGAGCCTTAAAATATTGCGTTTGTCAGTGGGGGGCTTTTGAGTCTAAAAGGTTGAGAAACACTGACACAAAATCAATGGATGTGAAATTTTCAGTGAAAACAATTTCTACAGATTTTTCCTCACAATCAGCACCATAAATGTGCACAGATACCATGTGGAACTGCTTATGAGAAAAAAACACAACCGCTGGACAGAAATGTTTCATTTCTCACTTTCCTCACGTACTGCTCTCTGAAACATTGCTCATCAATACATCATAAAGAAATCACAATCTAAAGATAATCGTACATAAACAGAAGCCATGTGGTTAAAATCTTGAACCGAAAGAGGTTACTGAGAGAGTTACTGAGAGAGAAAGAGTCTGAGTTATACAAGACCTCTTCACTCATCCTTGTACCTGATTGCTGAGGGGAAGAAGGAACACAAATCAACATGATTGAATTTGAGCAGACAAAAGCTGGCCTCGCACACACTACACAATAAACCCCAAGTCTATAATTTCTGCCCGCCCTGCCACACAAAGTGTCACTCTAATTCTCAGTGCCATCCCTTGACTGGCAGGAAGACCATGCATGACATGATTTAAACAAACAGGAAATGTTCCTGGATCAACACCCTCTGCTGTTCCTGGAATAATACTCCAGGAATCACAGCCATGTCTCTGAACCCAAAAACCCAAAATCAACGACCCGGGAAGGAACAACAAAGGATGCTGATGCAGGAATATATATTAAATCCATACTAATCCATAAAAACCAAGAATAAATCTCTCATAATTTCATAATGTACAGTTTGGGGTGAGTAAGACTTATGTTTTTGAAAATAGTCTCTTATGCTCTTCGAGGCTGCATTTATTTGATCAAAAATACAGTAAAACAGTAATATTATGAAATATTTTTATAATATAAAACAACAGCTTTCTATTTGAATATATTTTAAAATGTAATTTATTCCTGCGACGATAAAGCTGAATTTTCAGCATCATTACTCCAGTCTTCAGTGTCACGTGATCCTTTAGAAATCATTCTAATATGCTGATTTGCTGCTCAAGAAACATTTATTATTATGAATGTTGAAAACAGTTGTGCTGCTTAATAGTTTTGTGGAAAACAGTACACATTTCTTTTCAAGATTTGTTGATGAATATAAAGTTCAAAAGAACAGCATTTATTTGAAAAATAATTTTTTGTAACATTAAAAATGTCTTTACTGTCACTTTTGATCAATTTAATGCATCTTAGCTGAATATATTTTTTATATTAAGACCCCAAACTTTTTAACAGTATAGTGTAGTATTCAAGTGAAAGATCTGATTACTCAAATATACAAATGTCAGATTAATCGCTTAATAACAGTTAATCTAGATAGCTGCCGTTCTAGATTTATCACTATCAAGTCATCACAACAGCATTCAACTGACTATTAACAACGAAAGGTGACAAGACACTGGAGCACAGGAAAAGCCCACTATTAACCTTTAAGGTCATACTTTAAATCTTTATTTCATATCAAATTAACTTTTCTCTAGTGTTTTTCAGAGGAGCTCACTTCTAAGGGAAAGGGAGCTAAATTTGGCTACACTCTAATAAGCAAGACTTTAAAAAATTGACACATCAATGCGGTTGAATTTGAATACAATTAAATCGAATATGTGGTTATTTATATTAAGTATGTATTAAATCATGTATTGATTTGTTGTGTATGCGGCTCTTAGCAGGACTAACCTATCCAGCCAGGCCAGAAGGCTCTTAGCAGCAGCGATGAGGTCCACCACAGATGTGAGGATATCGTTGGGCAGCTTGCGGGTCGTCCGGCCGTCGTAATGGCCGCTGCGTCTGCGGCACGTGATGAAGTTCTGCAGGTTTTTGGCGGAGGCATTGAGCTTGTGAGAGAGAGTTTTCAGGTTTTCAGTCTCCAGCCCGTAGTTCTGTCAAACAGAGATAAAGACAATGAAGTGTTTTAGTGAAAAAAACTGGTTGGCAAACAATTGCAGGAATGACTCAATCAGAATTGCTTTTTGTTTCCACGCTGTTCTGTCTTAGTTTTAGATTTACAATTCTCCTCTCTGTTTTCAATTTCAGTTTTATTGTGCTTTATTGGCATAACAGAAGTTGTACATTTGTAAAAAACTGCACAAGTAAAACTAGAAAAGTAAAGTTTATTAAAACAACTTCTGAATGTTACTTGATAATATTTTCTTCAGACAAGCCTTTAATTTAAATTAATTTAATATTAATTTAAAATTACAATTTAAATTGTAATTATTTTAATAAATACTATATTTATTACATCCCAGATCCTTTTAACTTAACCCAGTATGTCAGTGACAGCTTTATCCGTCTTAAGTATAGTGGTAATTCTTTAGTTTCTACAAGTAGCGCATTAGTAGGAGTTGTTTTAATAGCACCAATACTAAGCCTAAGAGTTCTGAACTGTATTCTGTCTAGTTTTTCCAGGACACTCTTAGCTGCTGCTCCATATACCATACACCCAATAGTCAATACATAATCCTATTAATGCCCTGTATATATCAAGTAATGACTGTTTATCTGCACCCCAATCATATCCCTAAACTGATCTCATAAGGTAAAAATAAAATAACATTTAAAAATAAAATAACATTTAAAAATAAAATATAAGGTTTCGGTTAGACTAAAGATAAAAAAATATATATTGTAATGGATTACAATGAGAGACATTTCTCATCAAACCATAAGACTCTCTCTCTCTCTAACTCATACCCTCAAAGAGCATTCAGAGACCCCAAATGAATATTCAACACCTGGCAGAGAGAGAGAAAGAGTGAGCGCTTCATATGCAGAGGTGCATTGAGTGGGTGGAGACAGAACATAAAGTTCAGACTATGAATAATGCACTGAGAGTTTCGCTGCCAGCTGATAGGAACTTACACACGCCACGCTCCACACTGAGATAACACAATCAGCTCAGACAAATCTGCATATCTAAATCTGACAAAAAACACGTCAGAACAAAGCCAAAGAGCACACTTTAGTTTACACATACGCATTGCCGTTTACTTCTATAGGCGTCTCTGGAGTATCTTAAACTCAAAATTGCTGATGTCTGTGTTTGTGTTAGAGAGAGGTCACAGCAGGTGCCTTTGGAAGAGAACCAAATTGCCTTGTTCCTGCATAAAGAGTACTAATCAAGGGGCAGAGACTGATCAAATGCATCATTATGCATGTCATGAAATGCACGGTGACTTAGTGATGTTCGGTTCTTGAACGAATCGTTCTTTTGAGCCAGTTCTCAGGAAGTAACCAGTGGAGCCGGTTCACAAATCGAACTGAATCTAACTTTAGTTCCGGGTTGATGATGCAGGACGCACAGCCGAAGTAGCACGTCCAACTCAAAAAGAACTGATTGAGCCGGTTCAACCAACTGTCGAAGTTTGCCGAGGATTACCGAGGACTCAACAAGAACCGAATGAGCCGTGGCGAAGTTTGCCGAGGATTACCGAAGATTCTGAATAATCAGCAATATGCTTTCACACAAATAACTTTATTTTTTGAATGTTTTAATATTTGTTGACACAAATAACTTATTTAGATTTTTCATTGATACAACATTGCACTGAGTTGCTAGAAAAGAAATGCGTAGAGACGTTATTGCTTGATGACGTCAGGAACCGATGAACCGGCTTTTTGAACCGGTTCAATGAGACGATCTGTCCGAAAAGAACCGGTTCGCGGAAATGAATCGGACTTCACGGGCATCACTAACGTTGACACGAAGGTAGAGGATCCAAATGCAGTAGTTTATTGAAGGGGTAATCCACAAACGTAATCCAAAGGCAGGCAAAGGTCATAAACAAATAGGCAATCAAAAACAACGACAGAGTAAGGGTCTGAGGCAAATAGAGTAACCCAGAAAACAGGCAGAATAACAAGACCAGGAACCAAGATACAAGGCTTAGAATTGCAATAATGACACATACAAGACTTAGCAAGAATGACAGTGAGAACCAGGCTCATATATATATATATAGGGTGAGCTAACCATGCTAATGAGACACAGGTGCAAACAATGAGTGTTGATGAGACTGGGCAGAGGATTATGGGGAATTAAGTCCTTGTTAGATTGGCAGAAGTCTGGGAGTGCCCTCTAGTGAACAACCACGTTGATCGTGACATAACCCCCCCTCACAGGAGTGGCTTCCAGGCACTCCAAAACAACTGAAGTTCAAGTCCAGGAGGGAGGCGGAGCAGATCAGGGGGAGGGATGGTGGGCCAGGTCTGTGTGGTGGAAGAGGGCCTGGAGATGAGGGAGCCAGGGCGGAGCCGACGGACTGGAGAAGAGTGTGTAGCCCAAACACACAAAATGGCGACTGCCATTACTGGAAGAGTAACCAGAGCCACCAGAGCCAGGTGTGTGGAGCCCCTCGCCCCCACCAAAAAATGTTTAGGGGAAGCGCCAACTCATATTTCTTATCTTGCAAGCTCCTCCTTTCTGCATTATATTTTTTACACCTCATAATGATATGCTTATACAAATCTTTTTCTAATCCTATGTGAACAAGCACAACAGCATACGTCGTTACTATTAATAAAATAACTATATAATAAATATATATATTAATAAATATATATATATACCACATAAACTTTCATTTAAAATTGTAGTTTGTTATATAAATATATAAAATAACAGTCACCATTTAATGACTATTATTGTTATTATTATTTTTTATAAAGAGTTGGAATGTGTGCACCATGATAAAAAAACTTCTCATGGTGTGTGTGTGTGTGTGTGTGTGTGAAGTGTGCATCAATTTCAGTATCTCCTCTCACATCAGTAGGAGATCGATGAGAGTAATGTGCTCCATCTTGTCCGAAGAAAAAATCCCTCACACACTCACACACAAAGTACAAGTACAGGTACTAAACACACACCTGGAACACTAAAACGGGCTTGTACAACACACACAGACTCACAAAAGTTACATTAATCAGCTTGTGAGCGGAGGGAGACGCGGGGAGCAGACGATGTGGGGGGGAGAGATGCTAAAAATCCTCCATGCTAATCTGTTTAGAAGCTCTCTGCATGAATGCAGCAGATAACACACACCACAATGACAGAAAGATAAAGCAATATGGAGGGGAAGAGTGAGATAAACAAATAAGTGAGAGAATGACAGCCTTTGCGAGATTAGAGAGGCGGGAAAGGAGAGAGTGGGCCGCTCTGTGCCTCTGAGGTCAATATGCTTTCAAACAATAAAGACTCAACAGTTCTCTGGCTCTCATCAATATTTGTGTGTGAGTTTGTGTCTGTGATGGTTTCAAAGACACCTACCGGTGGGGAAAAGAGACCTCAGTGAATTAATACCATGCTCACAAGACAATGCCGCAGGATGCTTCATTGTTTACAGTGATGAAGTAATTTTCTCTCAGTGTGTTTTCGCTTTGAATAAGAAAGTTTGTGGCATTGTTTTTTCCTTCACATATCTGGGGATAGTTCTGAAAAATTACAATTCTGTCATAATTTACTTACCCTCTTGTTGTTTCAAACCTGCGTCGTCATATCTTGAGCATTGTTATGTTAGTTTTAATTTGATAATATTACAGTTTTTATTAATATTTAGAATTTTTAGATTTTTTATATATATTTTCAGTTTAATTATTATTATTTATTTATTTTTTGGTAAATTTGTTACATGCTTTTGTCATTTTTCATTTCATTCATTCATTTTTCAGTTTTAGTAATCTTCTTAAACTTATTTTATTTATTTGTGACCCTGCCTGTGAAAACACAGCTAAAGTCTTTTTTTTGTGATTTACAGTTTTTTGCATAAAATCATCCTTCATAAAGATGTAGAACATTCTGTGACAATATAACCTTTATATATTTAATATTGACTGAGTAAGGCCATGGCAAAGATTGAAATAATAGTGAAATTAATGGTTGAAATCAAACTTTGATGCTTGTTATCTCATAATTCGATTTTGAGACTTTAGCCTGGATTTCACAGACAGGGTCACATTTTAAACTAATATTTTTAATTTATTTTATTTCAAATAAAGAAAATGACTGTAATAGTTTTAGAACTAACAATAAAAATACTGGCCTTGATGT